GGAGGACATTGACCAACTGATCAGAAGCATGCCTAGGCGCGTTGAAGAATGCGTAGCACATCAGGGTGCATCGACACATTATTAAAGGTCAAAGGGCTTTAACGCAGTGCCATCATTTTGAAATTTTTATCATTTACTTATTATGCTTCATTAAGTACTTATACAAAATTTTATTCAAATAAAACAATTTAAACTGGGTGTTTGGATTTATATGTCACTTAGTATATATTTCTTCATTATAAAAAAATCCGATAAATATGTTGTGCCAAAGCTTTCAGTACATACGTTACTCGTATAAGGAGCAGCCTAGGTGCAGGACAAATCAAGGATTGATACCAGAAATATCTATTACTACTTTTTCAAAATTAGTGGAATTCAACAAAAAATGAACAATGTACAAAATCAAACTTATATCTGTAGTTCAGATCCAGTCCAAATAAATAGTTTTGAGATAATTGTATTTGAAATATTTTTCTTGGATAGAATTGTATGCAATTTGACATGAGTTAAAAAGTCGTATCTTCCTTATTATTGCAGATACATGAACGCTGCATGTAGTAAATGAAAATTCATAATATTATCATAAGTTTGACATATTAAACTCATTTTTGACAAAAATGCACCTGACCTAGTCTGGCTCTGGGGTATAAATATGAATTCCTGTCTCCTGAATTATTGCTTTTTATTACTTATTTTTGCCAATTTTGTTTTTGTTTTTTGATTTAATACCGCCTCTATCCCGATTGCGTCTATGTCCCGATTTTGTGACTCCCTCCCAATATTGCCTTTTAGGAATTTAACCAGAAGTTGTCTAATGAAATTTATATATTCAAGTGTTAAGTTCTCATGCCCAAGCACAAGTTTCTGCGAAACTTTTATGGGCCATTCGGTTTTGCCATTTCCTTTCATCTACTACTGCTATACTTTTTTCTTTTAGCAATAAACGATTATTATTATTAATATCATTATTTTTATTATTAATATCATTATTTTTATTATTATTATTATTATTTAGAGAGTATTTTTTAAACACAAGCAGAAAAAGCCTTTTCTGCTTGTGTTTCGATATCTTAGGAACAACAGAGATCGACAAAGATTGAATGGGCGACGCAGCAGCATCATCATTGATCAACGTATTCTACTTTCTAACATAATAGAGAGAGACAGACCGACAGAAACGAGTGACATGCCATACAAAATAACATCCAAAAAACATAATATCTCGTTGAAAAAAATCGCCGATTGGGAGATAAAATGAGTATTGCAAAAAATAGAGTCCAGCCCTGTGTCTGGATGTGATTCCAAAGTGGGGGCCGTTCACCGTTCACCGCTCATCCATCCAGGTGCACAGCCGGGTGCCGAGACACTGTCAACTTTGCACCTTTATGGATGGGCCCGGTACAACCCCAGCTTATTTTCTGCATCGTTAACTTAATCGAGGCACAAATATTGCCCTTTTTGTCACACCGCGCTCCCGTCACATGGTACCACTCGCGGCGTTGCCATATAACAAAAAAATGACCAGATTGAATTAAGTCTCTCAAACAACTTGATATAAATTTTCGTAGTAAACCAACCCTTCCGGCAAGTTTTAATGACCCAACCAAAATTAATGATTATTTAATGTCTGTTTATAGCTATAAACCTGTTGATTCACTAGTTTGCGAAAACTATTTCAAAAATAAATTAAGCTCTGAATATATTTTTTCATTGAATAAGATTAGTTCAAATGACGTATTACAGGCAATAGGGAGCCTAAAATCTGATGCGAAGGGAATTGATGGTATATCCCTGTCAATGATCCAGCTTTGCCTGCCAGTTATTCTCCATCACATCGTCCACATCTTTAACGACTGTTTGGAAAACGGCTACTTTCCAAACACATGGAAACAAGCTCTAATTATTCCAATTCCTAAAAAAATGAAACCCACTGAGTATAATGATCTCAGACCTATCAGTTTATTACCAATTTTATCCAAAATTTTTGAAAAAATTATAAAGTTCAAATTGACCGCTTACCTAGAAAAATTCTTTATACTTCCCGACACTCAATCCGGTTTTAGAAAAAATTATAGTACATCTGCCCTACTTAATCTGTAAGACAATATTTTAAGTGTCTTAGATAAGAAAATGGCACCAGCCTTAATCTCTATAGACTATTCGGAAGCCTTTGACAGAATCAATCATAAATTATTACTTGCTAAATTAAATTACATAGGTCTTGACAGTGTATCCCTTTCATTTTTCGACAGTTACCTTCATCAAAGAACTCAGTGTGTTTTTCTCAATCAAGAAATGTCTCAAGTGACAATAATTCCCTCAGGCGTACCTCAGGGCTCTGTATTGGGGCCGCTTCTGCTCCTCATATATACGTCCGACTTAAAGCAAAAGTATTGATAATTCTCATGTCCAGTCATTTGCAGACGATACGCAATTGCTTCATTATTTTAACCCAGATAATGTCAATAAGACAAGACTCAAATTTTACAAAACGATGTTAATAAATTAAATAAATACTCTTTAGATCACAATCTACTTATTAATCCACAAAAATCTAAAATGTTATTATTTTGCGCACAAAGAAAAACATACAATGTAACACAGCTCTTGAACATTCAGATAAATAACCAAATTTTGCAATTTTCTGATTCTGCAAAAATTCTTGATCTTGTTTTTGATACAAAATTAAGGTTTATTGAACATGTTAAAAGTCTATCTCAGAAAACCTACCTACGGCTGCGCACTTTTATAGCAAACAGGTATTTACTAAATTTTAAGTTGCGTAAAAAACTATGTGAAGCATTGGTCATATCTATACTAAATTATTGTAATATCGTATACTATACTTGTTTAGACAATTTCACTAAAAACGTTATTCAAGTTATTCAAAACAATTGTATACGATTCATTTTTGGCTTACGTAAATTTGATCATGTATCAGCGAAATATCCCGTTCTAAACTGGTTAAAAATTAATGACATGGTCAAGTATCACTATTCAGTTTTTGTTCACAAATTGCTGCTCACGTCTAAACCTTATTACTTGAAGGAAAAAATTTCATTTAATAGTGATGTTCACTGTAGAACTCTCAGAGAAAATAATAAACGCAGTTTTTCTTACAATGTTGCTATTATTTATAACGACCTTCCTAAAGTATATAAAGAATTTTCATTACCTGTCTTTCGACAAAAAGTGAAAACATTATTACTCAACCCTCCAAACATATAATTTACGTAATCATTCATTCATTTCTTTTTTATTCCATCTTTAATTCAGATTAATATTTTTTTGGTGCATTTGGGTTTGGAAAGTATATCGCTGCAGCGTGTGTGCTGCAGCACGGATAGGTTAGTCAGACGAAGTGGTACGCCGGGCGGTAAGCTTAGATAGCAAGAGTACGCGGTTTAGAAACAATTCACTATCATTCAAGTTTTAAAGGCAAATGTACGGGGAAATATGGCTAATAGAATTACTGGAGGTGGATATAAATACACTAACATCAAATAATATTCATACACCACCTTCCTCCACCTCCTACAACCCCCAATCCCCGAATTTCAACCGCTACAAAAATTTCTCTGAAAATTAAAGGTTTTTTCGTCCTTGGCATAAGTACTGACTTTGTATGAAAATGCTATCCAAATCCAAGCAGTACTTCCCAAGTTATAGGCGGTCCAATGATTAGCGGACAAACAGACAGATCTACGGAAATGAGTGACATGGTTTTTCGCAGTGTTGCCAGACGATTACTTTTTTTAATCCCTAGATATTTTGCTAAAATTTCCCTAGATTTCCCTAACAACTTAAAAAACCATGTTTATTTTAGAATTCCTTTTATATATTTAATATTCATCTTAATATTGTTTGTAATTTGGGACAGGAGTATTGATAAACAAATGCAAACAAATTTTGTACGTATAATTAGTTTAATTAACGTAACAGGTATTTCTTAAAATATATAATATAAACTAAAATACATGATAACTTAAGTATGCATATTATAAAAAATATTTAAAAAAATTATTCTGTATAAATAGCGAACGAACGAACATAGCATAACATAAAATATTTTTTTTAATAATTAAAAGTAGGTATTATAATTTAATTTTGAGTTTTATTGTAGATTGACGAATCCATTCTTCTAAACAAATCATTAGGGATGCTAAAGTTGTAGCAACTGTCATTTTTCAATAAAACTTTGGTATGTAAAATTTCATTTAAACTTTCAGTCGATAACTTATTTCTTATTTTAGTTTTGTTTAGACTTATTTGGGAAAATATCCTTTCGACATTTGTACTTGAACGTGACAAACCAAATAGATTAAACACAAAATTAGCTAAGGTTAGAAACATAAGAGAATCATCACCAGATTTTAATGTTGAAATTTTTTCCCAAAATTCTTGAATGCTTGAATTTGTATATTCACTTGAATCAAGATTTTTTAGGCAACGCCATTCTTTGTCTATTTCATTTACGTTATCAGTTATCAAATTGGGAAAATGGAAAACTAAAGACCCTAATGATGCTTGTTTTTTGCAATCACTTCATCTGGTGATATAAGTGACATATGTTTTCTTTTATTATCAAATCTTTTATAAATTTGAAAACAACTTTCTATTAAAAAATCACCGACGGGGAATCCCCGATGAGGAATCACCGACGGGGAACCACAGCGTTTCGTTTAGTAATTACCCGACTGTTATGAGCTATGATTTCCGACCGGTTTGTTGATACAATTTGGTGTTCGTACATTTTAATATACATATTTTTGATAATGGTTATGTTGGTTTCACAAAGCATGCTGGCGAAATGTGAGTTGCAGAATCTTATAGTATAATAATATAATGTTTTTATATACTAAGTGACATATAAATCCGAACACCCAGTTTAAATGGTTTTATTTTAATAAAAGTTGGTGAATGTATTTATCTTACTGTAAATAACAAGTGAAAAAATTTTCAGCCTTATCAGTTGGACATTCCGGTTTTTATACTGCTTTTTTTAACCCGTAGCCACAGACGTGGAGTCAATTTGACTCCTTGCTAGTATCTGGAGGGGGATTTCCCGTTTTCTCCTCAGTCTATCTGTCCATGCCTAGAGGTACCTTTTCATCGAGTAGTATTGAACTAGCACTGAGACAATTGCGTTGATTGTGTACGTTATTTACATTTCATTACGACTTGAATTTCCGACGGAGTCAAAAGGACTACAGGTCTGTGTTAATGTTATATTCTTATTTCTGTATTTCATGAACATGCTCGGCTTAGTTTAGGTTTTTAGGATGGATTTTGATAGCAAAGCTGGTCCCTCAAAAATAGTTAGATATGGCGATTCGGACTACCAAGAAACTTTGCTGAAATGGGCTGCTGGGGTGGATGAGGAAAATGAAAACGGCAGTGGTATTGATTCAGATGCCGAATTCATTTACAGTGATAATGAGAGCATTCGGAACAAGAATGGACAGAGATTGCGAAAGACTTTCTACTGAAGAAGATGAGACATCGAACCGCGTTTCTACAAGAAACTATTTCTATGGAAAAAAACCATTTGAAATGGTTTTTTTAAATGGGCTGCTGGGGTGGATGAGGAAAATGAAAACGGCAGTGGTATTGATTCAGATGCCGAATTCATTTACAGTGATAATGAGAGCATTCGGAACAAGAATGGACAGAGATTGCGAAAGACTTTCTACTGAAGAAGATGAGACATCGAACCGCGTTTCTACAAGAAACTATTTCTATGGAAAAAAACCATTTCAAATGGTTTGCGTGGACTGTGCAAAATGAAAAAATTACTTTGGAAAACCTACTACACGTTTCCAGAATATTATCTTCACGTTAATTTCTAATCGTTATAAGTATTCTTTTTCATGTTTTTAACGAGTTTTGTATGAAAACTACCCAGCAAGTTCATTTTTTTATGTTAAAAAGTTACCAAAAATGTTATTGTAAATATTCACGAAAATTATGTGCAATAAATTCATTTCTTTAAAATCTGGTTGCTTTTTACTGAGGAACTTTTTTTTATTAAAAACGATATTAAAACAGACAGTATTTAAGTGATATAACATAGAGGTAAACTTGTTTTTATTTTCCAAATATGTTTTCCATTGCCTTCATTATAGGAGTCATTTTGACGCCACGTCTGTGGTAATGTTCAATTTATTGGCCGTCTGTGGTTACGGGTTAATTCACTAACGCTCTAAAAATGAATATTTCAGCCGCAGTAAAGAATCAACGTTGGCGGATTTTGGTTCTTGACATCCTTTACGATCGGTTACGATGCCTAGAGTACGGAGACCTGTACGATTGCGTCAACTTAGTGAGTTTGATAGGGGCCGTATAGTGGGACTTCGGGAAGCTGGACTTTCTTTTCGGGCAATTGCAGTTAGAGAGCAAAGAAGTGTAGGCCGTACGCAAAGAGCAAGGGGCACTGGACGCCGCCGTAGAACAACAGACCGTGAAGATCGCCGCCTAAGATTATTGGCCTTAAGGGACCGTTTCTCCACTACCAGGTCCATTGCAAATGAATGGTTTGCAGAACACGGAAGACCTATTGGCATGCGAAGTGTTTACCGACGAATGAGAACTTTTGGCTTGTTTTCATACCGGCCACACTGGGTCCTCCCTTTAACTCGAGAACACCGACGTAATCGCCTTGAGTGGTGCAGACAACGGAACACTATTGTCTTTAGTGACGAGTCTGGATTTTGTTTAGGCATGCACGATGGTCGTGCCAGGATTAGAAGGCGACATGGTGAAAGGAGGAATCCACAGTTTTTTGTTGAAAGACATGTTCATCACACTGTTGGAGTTATGGTTTGGGGTGCTATAGCTGATGGTTCCAGGTCACCTTTAATCTTCATCAGAGGTAACATGAACGCGCAGCGTTATATCCACGAACTTCTAGAACCCCATCTTTTACCCTATCTTGACACCCTGGCAGATCCAACTTTCCAACAAGATAATGCCCGAACACATGTTGCAAGAGTCACAATAGACTTCTTTCAACATAATGATGTCACATTGTTAATGGCCATGGGGCCACCAAGATCTCCCGACTTATCCCCAATTGAGCACGTGTGGGATATGATGGGTAGGAGATTGCTCAATGTGCAACGTCCTCCTCAGACTCTAGAAGCACTTCGAGAGGAGTTGGTGGTTGCCTGGAATGAGATACCACAGGAGGACATTGACCACCTGATCAGAAGCATGCCTAGGCGCGTTGGAGAATGCGTAGCACATCAGGGTGCATCCACACATTATTAAAGGTCAAAGGGCTTTAAAGCAGTGCAATCATTTTGAATTTTTTATCATTTACTTATTATGCTTCATTAAGTACTTATACAAAATTTTATTAAAATAAAACCATTTAAACTGGGTGTTCGGATTTATATATACTTATATATGACTAACAAAATGCCGCTTAGAAGGTTTCGAAATTCAAAGTACTTCCGGGGAGAGACCGAAAAAAAAGAATTTTCTCAACATCGTTTTAAGTGTGTAGCGGGATTTTGAAATAAATTGCACATTATCATTGTCATTTTTTCTCCTCTACAAGATGGAATAATTAGAATTTCAATACGACGCTTCGTCTCTTGTCCTCCAGCATCAATTCTAATTTTTCTTAAGGAGGCAAAATTAGATTTTTGCGCAGATACATAAACTTCTTAATTCTAATATCAAAACCACGCATTGTATACATAGACATTGCCAAACCTCAGTTATTCCAGAAAAACAGAAGTTCCTACGTAGGCCTTGAAATTATCAGACAGTCATTTGTTTCGTATACCAGACGTAAATTGAGTTGGGAAGACTGTGAGTATGAGTGGCTGTAAGCAATATACTGGGGAGAGTCAGGCTTTGCCTACAAAATAAGGGACATTCAAAACATCTGCTATGATTTATCTCTGCTTATTAATGGTTATTAATATTATTACTTAAAAAAAATTCATTTTGTGTTCAGGTTTTACTAGACCTTTTTATTTACTTATAATTTTCATCCAACGACAAGTTCATGGCGAACAAGGAAATATACTATCACTGAATTTGGAACTGAAAGGTCCATTTAAATGTACAAAATTCCAATATAACGTCTATATGAAAAAACGAAGTTGGTCAAGGAAGTTGAAAGAAGAAACCTCGAATCCAAAATGTGACTCGGGCCATCTTGTAGAGGAGAATGAGAAAATCCAATTTATTTTGAAATCCCATGTCAAGAAAAAATAGAAATGATTTTGGGATAAATCTAGTATGGGGAACAAATGACTATCTGTTAGTGTCAAGGCATACCTGCTACTTCTGCTTTTTTGAAATAGCTAAGGTTACGCAATGTCAATGTATGACGTATTATACGAGGGTAATTCCAGAAGTACCCGACCCAACGAAGAAAACACAAAATTTTTATAAAAAATTGTATTTATTTTTCAACATAATACCCTTTGAGCTCTCTACACTTTTCCCAGCGATGTTCAATAAGTTCGATACCCTTTTTATAATAAGAACTGTCTTGCTCCTCAAAATAGCCATTAACTGCTGACATCACTTCTTCATCGTTGGAAAATCTTTGACCAGTGAGCCATTTTTCAAGTTTGGAAACAGAAAATAATCCGAGGGGGCTAAATCTGGTAAATAGGGTGCATGAGGCAGCAATTCATACTTTAATTCATTAATTTTGGCTATTGCAATAACGGATTTGTGAGCTGGTGCATTATCTTGATGAAACAACACTTTCTTCTTAACCAAATGCGGCAGTTTTTGCTTGATTTCGTCGCTCAAACGTTGCAATAAGTTCGCATAATACTCGCCGTTGGTAGTTTTACCTTTTTCAAGATAGTCTATGAAAATTATCCCACGCGCGTCCCAAAAAACCGACGCCATAACCTTGCCTGCAGATGAAACGGTCTTCGCCTTCTTTGGAGCCGGTTGTCCCTTTTGAGTCCATTGTTTTGATTGTTCTTTTGTCTCGGGTGTGAAGTGATGGACCCATGTTTCATCCATGGTTATGAATCGACGCAAAAAGTCTGCTCTGTTGCTGTGAAACTTCGCTAAACACTCAATTGAAACATATTCACGACACTGTTTTTGCTCGATTGTGAGCAATCGCGGCAGCCGTCTTGCACACAGCTTTCTCATGTCCAAATTTTCAGATAATATGCGATGAACCGCACGTTTTGAAATGTCTACTATGTCTGCTAGCTTGCGCACTTTCAGTCGACGATCATTCAGTACCGCTTTGTCAATTTTCTTCATCATTTCTGGAGTCGTCACCTCATTTGGTCGACCACTGCGATGCTCGTCTTGGCAGCTCGTACGGCCTCGTTTAAACTCTGCTATCCAATATTTTACTGTTGTAAACGAAGGAGCAGACTCACCCAGAGTAGAATCCAGTTCAGCTTTTATATTGGTTGGGCTGAGGTCTTTGAAAACGTTTAGTATTGATGACTGCCAAACAAATACTAAACAACGTGACGTCTTCAAACTTAACACATATGCTTTATAGGTTGCATACTTTCTAATCCAATGATATTTTTCAAACAACTATCGCCATCTCCAGGTCAGGCCCGGTACTTCTGGGACCACCCTCGTATAGTACATTTTTGGAAGCTTTACTCACCTGTGCAAAAATCCAAAACGGCGTCTATGATAAAAAATATAGTTGATGCTGGAGGACAATAGACAAAACGTCATATTATAATTCTTCTTCACTACGAATAAATTAAAACGATTTTGGAAAAATTCGGTTATTTCCATCAGTCTCTTTCTGAGCGTCATCGTGTTTATTACCTAAATACGCAACTTTGACCCATTTAAGCAACTTCGAAACACGTGGTATAAGATATTTTGAGCCATCAGTAAAAAAAAAGGCTAAGAAAACTAATCTGCTGGAATAATGACGTACACAGGTGTAAATACGCTGGAGAAAAGAAAATTCGATTAAGCCATAAAATTACGGTTGCATCCTATTAACAAATATTTACGCCTCCGAGACGATGATGAGCCTGTCACTTGTTCTAAATCTAAAGTAATCAGATACATCAGACTTCCGAGGGCAAAATAAATGGCACGACTTTCAGCCAATTTGCATGACAAATTGAATCAATATTTCTTCCTTTAAAAATATTTATTTAAGGAATGGAGCTTAATACAAAATATGCGATAAGACGCAGCTTGATGCATATACAAAGGTTTTGCTTCACCATTTATTCAAAAACATGATTTGTTATGGCATTCTAATGCACTTTCTTATAGTTAAACAAGGCATTACGGCCTAAACACCAGAGTGTCGTGACTTTAAGAACCTTTTCATTGGAAAAGAAGTTGTGATTGATAAACGGTCTCGGACTGTCGAACGTGGAGGTACCACCTGGCGGATCTCTAAAATGTGTGCATGTCACATGGACACGTGTTCCCTCGCTACAGCCTGTGTGACGTCCCCTCCACTCCCCTATTCTCCTGCATCCCCCTCTATAACCCCTCAGTACGCACGTATGGCCTTAGG